ATTAAAAAAAAGCTCTGTAGAGTTTTATTTATTGCTTTGTGTGCTAATAAGTAAAGTACTATTTGTTACTCTGGAACTCTGAGTTGAAGGGTGAAATAAAATTGGGAAGCCAGCAATAATTATATTTTCCTCAATGGACTGTATTCCTGGAACAGCTGAACAAAAGGAAAATATCACCAGACATAGCTATTCGTTAATCTAAAGAGCAGGTTTACCTAAAATGAACACCTACCAGAAGCACTTTTTAGTTCCAACATTGTCATCAAATATTATTTGACATGGAAACTCTGGAAGTTAAAATCCATGTATTTTGAGAGTACCCTGGTTAGGAAAGCTGATATAAAGGAGCATCTCTCAGATATATATATATTGATGAAACTGATGTATATATGTATGTATGTAGGTAAGTAGGTAGGTAGGTAGGTAGAGATAGAGAGAGATACATTATATACTTTAGGATATATATATATATATATATACTACATTTATATGTATGGTATTCAGATTTGTTTGGATATTTTCCCACATAATTATAGTTGTGCTTTCCACTTCATAGAAACAATAAAGAAACAAAATCTACAACCCAGCGACCTACTCGTGAGCTTCGACGTCATATCCTTCTTCACCCAAGTACCTATTAAAGAAGCCTTGACAGCTATCTAAAACAAATACACCCCCACTAAGCACATTCTAGATCTGACCAACCACTGCCTAGCCAACACATACTTCATCTACAATGGATAAAGAAACAAACAGATAGAAGGAGCACCTATGGGATCACCTCTCTCACCCATCATCGCTAACCTATACATGGAACACTTTGAAACCAATGCTCTAGACAAATCTGCACACAAACCAAAATTCTGGCTTAGATATGTAGATGACACTTTCATAATTTGGCTCACAGGAAAGAAAAACTGGACAACTTCCTCACATATCTCAACAGCCTACACCCCAAAATACAATTCACCATGGAAACAGAAGCCAACAACCAACTCTCCTTTCTGGACATCCTAATTTACAAAAAACCCAATGGCTCTGTAGGACACACCATCCACCGGAAGAAAACACACACCAACCACTACTTAAACACACAATCCCATCACCACCCTACACAGATCAACTCTGTAGCCAAGACCCTCCTCTCCAGAACCAAACACCTAGCCGACAAAGACCACTTGAGAAGAGAATTACACACCCTCACTAACATATTAATTTCCAACGGATCCCAAAGAAACACAATTACCAACCTAATCCTAAGGGAGATCCCCAAAAAAACTGAGACACAGAACAGGACAATGGTATTGCCCTCCTCCCCTACATCAAAGGCACCACAGATAAAATCAGCAAAATTCTCCACAAACACAATATCAGGACAACCTTTGGCACTGACCAAAAAATAACCAACATCCTAAGAAACCGCAAGGACAAGATCCAGCTAGAAAACCAAGGAGTTTATGAAATACCATGCAACAATTGCCCAGCCACATACATTGGGCAAACCAACAGGAGAATGCATGCATTGCAGAATACAAGAATGCAGTCAGAAAAGAAGAAAATACTTCCTCCCTTTTCCAGCATCTTAAAGCTACAGGACATGAAATTAATTTTGAGGGAACCAAATTAATCTCCAATACTGAAGTCTTCAACAAGAGAATAATCAGGGAAGCCATCGAAATAGAGAAACACCCCCATAACATGAATAAATGGGACAATACCTCCTGCCTACCAGACATCTGGAAACTAGCCCTTATCAACAAATGAGTCCCAGCCACGAAAGCCAACACTGGACCCAAAGCAACACATGATACCACCACCAATCCCCCTCACCAGACTCAAACCCAAACCCATCCCATAGACGAAGGTCAACCACCATCCAGAAACCAGACTACGGCTGCATCACCAGCTGCCACACACCCTGACCCCCAAACTAAGCAAACTGACACATGCCATGAACATATAGCCAGACTTCAAACTCGGAGCCAAACCAAAACCTGGAATGTTACATCACAGCCATCCACTCAGGATATCACATCACGGAACTCAGGAGGTTACATTACAAAACCTCAGGATGTTGCAACACAGCCAATGACCCAGGAGATTACAGCACAAGACCCAGGATGTCACAACAATAGAACTCAGAAGATCATCACACAGCCCATTACTCAGGTCGTTACAACACAGGAGGCTGATAGACACACAGCCAGTACCTCAGCCACACAGGTTTTTACAAAAAAGCCAACCAATCTGCAAACATCAACTCCATCAATCAATCAAGAAATAACAACACAGCCAACCAGCCTGCTTATAACAGAGCCAGGACACCACACCTCCCCACCAGTATTTATACAGAGACTGCAGCTCCGATCACACTTTACTCGCACAAGCACGAAGCCGAAAGCACCAGCCTGAAGATGGTGAGTGGGACCTCATCAAAATGTCACCAAGAGACCCACAATCTTACACGGGAAAAGACTCGAACATGCCAAAATGCATGCGTGCACGCGCGCACAAACACACACGCACGCACACACACACACACACACACACACACACATATATATGCGTGGATCTTTGGTTATTCAAACAATGAAAAGCACAACTATAATGACGTGGGAAAATACCTGAACAAAGCTGAATACCACACACATGCACACACACACACACATACACACACACACATATATATATATTCACGTATACATATTCATACACACACACACACACACACACACACACACATATATATGTATGGTATTCAGCTTTGTTCGGGTGTTTTCCCACGTCATTGTAGTTGTGCTTTTAAAGTTGTAGCAACGTTTCGGCAGAATCTCATCTGTCATCATCAGGCTTCTGTATTGTGTTTGTCTGTGAGTCAGACTTTCACAGCCGTTTCAGTTTTAAATTTGGGGCTAGCCTACTGCTGTGCCAGAATGGTTTTTTCTTCATCCTGATTGGTTGGGAGTCTTGGTCTGTGTTTATTGGTCTTGGAGTTTGCTGTGTTCTGCTTGATTGGTGTTTCTAATACCTTCTGTCTGTTTTGTGGCTTTTTTTGTCTTGATTGGCTGGCAACATTGTGTTCCTGTATTGGAGGCTTTTAGTGCGGCTTGGCTCTGAGTAAATGGATGGCTATCATTTATTAGGAAGCTAGGTTTCATCTGGGTGCCTGGTTGGGGTGTGTTTGAGCTGGAGGTATCAGGGGGGATCTGTTTGTGCCCAGGTGTTTGCCTGGCTTGTGGTGTGGAGATTTTTTTGTTTGTGAGTGCAGGCATCCAAATAATTGACAGTCTGGTGGAATCATCTCTTCTATTCATGCTTTCAAGTCTTTTTTCAATCTCTATGGCTTCTCTGATAATTCTGTGGCTGGGGTTTTCTATAGTGGCTAGGGTTTTGGTGCCATTGAAGTTGATGCTATGACCTGTTGCTTTCATGTGTTGGACTAGTGAGGAAGTGTGTTCCAGCTTTTTTACTGCATTTTTGTGTTCATCCAGGCAGGTACTTATTCTTCTATTGGTCTGTCCAATGTATGTGGCAGGGCATGATGCACAGGGGACTTCATATATGCCTTGGTTTTCCAGGTCAATTTTATCTTTGGGGTTTCTTAGGATGGCTGCTATTTTTCTGTCTGTTTTGAAGGCAATCTTGATGTGATGCCTGTATAGTATCTTACTGATTTTGTCTGTAGTACCTCTTATGTAGGGCAGGACAGCTGTTCCATAGGTCTGTTCATCTTCTAGGTCTCCATTATGTCTCAGTGTGTTTTTGTGGATCAAGCCGGTGATTTTGCTTTTGTGGAAGCTGTTAGCTGTCAGTACTTTAGCCAGGGTGCATAGTTCAGTCTTTATGTGTGTCTTGTCTGCCAGTCATTTGGTTCTGGCAATTAGTGTTTTGGCCACGGAGTTTATCTGCGCTGGGTGGTGGTGGGATTGGGCATTGAGGTAGCGGTTGGTATGTGTTTTCTTCTGGTATATGGTGTGTCCTAGTGTGCTATCTGTTTTTTTGTAGATTAGTACATCTAGGAATGGTAGTTGTTTATTTGTTTCCGTTTCCATGGGGAACTTGATTTTGGGGTGTGTGCTGTTTAGGTGTGTTAGGAAATTGTTTAGGTTTTCTTTTCCATGGGGCCAAATCACAAGTGTGTCATCGAACCCAAACTATGGTTAAGATACTCCAGACCAATTAGCTAAGTTGTATTGGGAATAGTAGAAGGAAACAAGGACAAATAAAAGAAAGATTGAAAACAGCCTGCAGTGACAAAAGATCCTAATTGTTGAGGAATCATTCTAAACTATTTTCTCTATACAGGAAGCTAGAAGAGATAGCTAACCTAATCTCAAGTTAACACTCTCTTTCAGATACAAATGACATAGGTAAATGAAGTCATTGTTGCTCAACTTTGGCAACTTTAAGATGTGTTCACTTCAGTTCCTAGAATTCCCTAGCTAGCATGCTAGAGATGTCAAATGGTGGTTGTTTTCTTGTTATCCTGGGATAATTGTCCATGCACTTTTTCTCTTTCTTTAGCCTAACAAAACAAATTACCCAGCTAGTACACTACATTTAGTGCCTATCCTTAAATTGCTATTGTATGCTATGTGACTACTGTTTTACTGTAAATGATGGGGTTCCTTTGCTCTCACTGGTTATTATTGTTTTCCATATTTTAAAACTAGCGTTGGCTATTTGAATTACCAGCCCCAGAAATAAGCAAAATGAAAGGTTCCATCTGAGCATTGTTTTCATTTTCTAGCAATAAGATTGACAATAACAGCGTGTTCTTTTTTGATAAAAGATTAATAGTTTCCAGTATTTATGAAAAAAAAACACTTCCAAAAAGTTCAGCCAGAGAGGGATTTCATAGGCTGAATTTTGCAGAAAGTCCATTTATAGCACAGTGATAGAACAGGAGCTTAAAATTATGAATTTCATTTTACTCCCTATCTTAAGTCTATTTTTTTTTATGATTACTATATAAATTTGTAAGAAAACTGTCTCCTTACCTGTGCTCACACATTGCCACTCCAATATGAACAGATGCAACCAGTTTAATTGTTTAAAGAAGGGTTCTTTATGCCCTTGTCAATGCATTATAAAAGAACTTGGAAGAGGGGAGGCAAGAGGGAACAGAGACACCCTCTGCCTTCCAGCTGAGCCAGTCGGGTGTTCTTTCAGCCAAGGCAAAGAAATGAACTCTTTGATGGCTTTCTGCAGTGGAATAGATGTAAGAAAGATCTCTGCAGTTTTCCAGAATACAAAACACCTTTCAAAATCTGAAGGGAAAAAAAAGAATGGAAAGATATCAGAAGATTTGCATGGCTTGCCTGCCCAGTCCTCTGTTTCATATTCCAGGGGGTAATTAATGGTGATGCAGGAAGTAGAAAGGATGGCAAAGAATGTACCTGGTGCTGATTTAAATTAACTCAATTATCTCAAGGCCTTATTATTCAAGTTTCATAAATATAAGTTGTAGAGGCAGCACTTTTAAAATAACTGCTTGTTTTCTAATCTCAAAGGAGGGAAGCACATTGTCTTTGAAAATGCAGATGAGTCTTAGAGAAGAGCACTGGTTCCCACAAGGGCTGGAATAAATGTATCTAGTTATCAGGATGCTCTGAGCCTACTAGCTGACATTCTGCTTTAAATAGTACATTAGTGATATTGTCCATAAGATCTCTGTATTTATAGAATGTATGATTCTCTCTAAATATGGAACATGATGATGAAATGCAAATTTTTGCTTTCATATGTTGCTTTCAGAATGCATTTTCTTCCTATATCTTGATAGTGATGATTTATAATTGCAAATTCTTTGCAAAAAGAAAATTTTAATTTGGAGAAGTTGATTCATCGATATTGCTGATTTATCATCTGACTTAGATTTCGCTGCTGTTGAACAATCTACAGTAATTTGTATTTTATATGGAGCCTCTTTACTTAGGTATGTAATTCTATAATGTCTGATCCACATCTTCCAATATGCTGCTTAACCAATGTGTTGCAGATGAAAATCAACTTAAACTTCTTCCAGATAGCAGGCACAAAGTTGCAGAATAAGTCTGCCCCCCCCCCCACTTTTTTGGCTTTCATCATACTTACCGTGTTAGCAATGTGGGGGAAGAGAGAAAAGGAGGATGTGGCATAAGAGCTATTTTAGACGTGATTCATTCCATGGGAACTGGTGGCTTAAACTGAATTATAACAGTTGGAAAAGAGTGCATCTGCAGCCAAAGAAATGTAATGCCTTTAGAGGACAAGAATAGGATCAACTGCATGACCTGATTGGAAAATCACATTAGAAATATTAAAAGGATATTTCTCTAAACATTTCTACTGCCAAGGAAGTTATGTTTGAAAATGAATTACTTTCTTATTTGGAAAATCTCATGGTAGGGAGAAAAAGAACTCTCATCCCAGTTAACTCTGACTTCTCTCCTATTGTTTTCATATAAATAAATACATATTAATTGCATTCATGCATTTGAGTCCACTTCAGTGTGCTGTCTTCATTGTTCAAAATATGTGTATTTTAAGTAACAACTACCATGATAGTATTTCTCCACCTCCATTCTTTGCTGTACATTTTTAGTTGCTGCTGCAAAGAGAGTAATATTAATGGTCAGAGAGGAGGGAAAGAATAACATGATGGGAAAACACCTGAAAATTTGGACAAGATTATTAATGTATATTTGCGCAGATTATTAATATACGTATGTGCCTTTCAGCCAGTAAGGATTCCTGGTGACTGCCTGGACATGTCCCTGGAATTTTCTTGGCAAGATTTCAGAAGTGGGTTTGCTTTTATCTTCCTTTTCATAGAACTGAGAGTGACTGGCCCAAGATCATCCAGCTGGCTCTGTTGACAATGGGACTAGAGCTTACTGTTCTATAAAATTCAGCCTCTGAAGTTCTCTGGCTTAACTTTCTGGAACTGGTCCAGTATTTATAAATACTGGAAATAATAATTTTATATTGAAGAAAACATCATTATTGTCAGTTCTACTGCTAGGAAATGAAAGCAATGTTCAGATGGAACCTTTCAGTTTATTTATTTCTGGGCTGGCAATTCAAATTGCCAGTTCAAGTTTTAACTGTTACTAAACAATGGGAATAAAGAAAACCTGTCATGCTTGCTTCCAGTATAGAGATAGTAGGCTAGGATGGCCTCTCAAAATTGGGTTCCTTTATCTCTGTAGGCTGTTTTCAATCTTTCTTTGGTTATTTTTGTTTTCATTCCCCTACTCCCAATATAACTGAGTTAATTTTCAGTTCTCTTGAACACCAAGTCTGGGGAAGATATGAATATAAGGCCAGAAGAGGGCAGGGCTAAGCTTGGAAGGGGTGTGGGTCATGACAGATTTCCTATATCTATAAATATCCTATAACAAAAGAATAAATAACATATGATAACAAGCCACAACAATTGATATGAGGAAAATAAAATATATAAATTAAAACAACTATTACAACTTTATATATTAAGTTGTCTCATAGTTTCTACATTAGTTTCAACTATTATACAGAACTGCGAGTTTTGATTAATAAATGAAGACATCCAAATTGCTTGGTGCCCTAGAATTGTAGGACCTCTTAAGTTCTTTTCAATTTGTAATAGATTACATCCAAGGATCCTATGAGCCTAACTACACTTCTCCTAGTTTCTGAGCCTGGTGCCTTAACCACTACACCAAAATAGCTCTCTTACTAAAGTTTTAAATATCCTGTATTTTTCTTGAAAGAAAAAAGGAAAATACTAGATTTCACACATTCTGCAGCTAGTTTTAGAATATTTTGTTCTGATTCAGTTTAGTGGATTGCATGAATAGAGAAGGAGAAATGAAATACACATAATGAAAAAACACAATCCAGAATTAGTAAATTGAATTTGATTCGTCCAAGGTTTGCTAAACATTTCCTGAAGGCACTTGGGCAATGAGGATACTAAAGGATTACCTTACTTGTATTCTCGGAGACATTTATTCTTAACAGGGTACAAGACAAAACAAGTTGTCAGTAAAACCCCACCTAGTATGTTTCTGGTCTAGATCTGTCTCTTCAATGGAACGGGAAAAGCAGCCTAAAGCTGTGACTCACTGCAAAAGGGAAGTTTCACCTTTTGCTTTCTTGCATTAGGAACTGTTGAATGATCAGTTGCATTTATCATAAGAAATTGATAAAAATGCACAGATATCTCCATGGGTAGTAAACAGCAGATATATGTGAAACACAAACAACACGTGCTTTCTGATAATTTCAATATTACAGACTGTGGAAAGGAAACTTCATGAGGACAGTGGTGTCACCCAAGCAGAAAAAGCCTAAATGGAACATCAAGCCAGCCATAAAACAAACTTGCATAGGAAAAGAAATCAAATAAAAGGCCCCTTAGACAAAAGCCCAAATAATTAAGAAAACTAAGGAAACAAGAAAAAAAAAACCTTACAAACACAAGACATGCCAAATCAGCAAAACAGACAAAAGACAAAAAATATATTGCAAAGGAGACAGAAAGCAGATTGCCACAAAAAAAAATATAAGAAACCATTAAGCAAAAAAAAAAAAAAAAATTAGGACGAAACCGATAATCCAATCAAACCACCCCGCAAAGTTTGCCTTCTGTACCCCGTGGAGTTTACCCTCTGGCGGAAACAAAGACAACCCCTGACAGGATTTAAAACATTAAGAAATACAAACACAAGCACACACACACAAAATGAGAAAAAAGTATAAAAATCAGGGACTTACCATACAAAGCTAGCTAGCCCAGGAACGCAGACTTCTTGCTATCTCTCGCCTTCCTGAAAAATAAAAAGTTCCAGCTTTCAAGCAGTTGTCTGTATCCTTGCACCAGAGCTCTCCCAGTGGGAAAATCGAATCCTCAGAAGAAAGGCATTTTGACAGCCTTTCAACAAGGCTATGGTATCATACAGCATTATCCTATCTAATAAAGCCGGTTTTCACAGTTGTAATAACCACCACAATGGATGGATGACAGATCACTAATGTGGAAATTACTTTGATAAGTAAAGAATAAAATAGAATAACAGAGTTGGAAGGGACCTTGGAGATTTTCTAGTTCAACCCCCTATACCATTTCAGACAAATGGTTATCCAATCTCTTCTTTAAAACTTCCAGTGTTAGAGCATTTGCAACTTCTGGGGGCAAGTTGTTCCACTGATTAATTGTTCCAACCGTCAGGAAATTTCTTCTTAGTTCTATACTGGTTCTCTTCTTGATTAGTTTCCACCCATTATTTCTTGTCATGCCCTCAGGTGCTTTGGAAAATAGCTTGACTCCCTCTTCTTTTTGGTAGCCCCTGAGATATTGGAACACTGCTATCATGTCACCCCTAGTTCTTCTTTAGACAAACTAGACATACCCAATTCCAGCAAACCGTTCCTTATATGTTTTAGTCTCCAATTCTCTAATCATTTTGTTGCTCTTCTCTGCACTCTTTCTAGAGTCTCAACATCTTTTTTTTTATCGTGGTGACCAAAACTGGATGTTGTATTCCAAACGTGCCCTTACCAAGGCATTATAAAGTGGTATTAACACTTCACGTGATCTTGATTCTATCCCTCTGTTTATGTGGCCTAGAATTGTTGGCTTTTTTGGCAGCTGCAGTATACTGCTGGCTCATAATTAAATGATTGCCCACTAGGACTCCAAGATCCCTCTCACAGTTACTACTATTGAGCGAGGTACCACATATAATATATCTGTGCATTTTGTTTTTCTTGCCTAAATGTAGAACCTTATTTTTTTTCACCACTAAATTTCATTTGTTGGATAGTGCCAAAGTCTGTCAAGATCCTTCTGTATCTTTAGCCTATCTTTTGGAGTGTTGGCTATTCCTGCTATCTTGGTGTCATCCACAAATTTTATGAGTTTCCCATCTATTCCCTCATCCAAATCTTTGATGAAGGTATTGAAGAGTACTGGACCTAAAACAGAGCCTTGAGATATTCCATTGCATACTTCCTTCCATGTAGATGCAGTTCCTTTGAGGACTACACATGTCAACCCTGAAGCTGACCTGACCAAAGCCATCTTTACAGATTCAGTGTTGCCACACTGGAGCTGAAAAATAGGGAGGTG